TCAAAACTAAGCAAACACAAACATATTATGATATTAATTAAAATGATTATAATATCAATTCATACTATCAATACAAAACAAAAAAGAAAAATACACTGAACTTTTAAGCAAACACAAACTAAAAGCAAAACACTGATATAACGAACATCTAGAAAATCAAAACCAAAATTTTCTATTCTTCGGTAGGAGTGAGAGGATACACCACCAATAAGTGTGAAGTAGAATCAGTGCATCAACCAATCAACATTGGTATTATATTTCATGAACTTCATTTTATATTACCAATTCTGTTGCGCGCTGAAGTGAGCATAATTTGATCCAAAATCGTTGATCAAATGAGTCTCAAGTCATCAATTTTCCAATCAATCTGATTAACGAAAGTTGAGGTGCAGATGGTTGCTCTCCTACTCTTGCTGCTTCAGAAGCATTGCATCATGTGCTTTCTTTTTCCTCTTTGAAGATCCTCTAAAAGAAGCATCATTAAGTGAGACCGGCTCTCATATCCATCAGATGTGTGTTTTTTACAAAAATAAAGGTAATTAATGACCTAACTGAAATATTCCTTATTTCTTTTCTGATCATGGCATGGCCCATTTTCAGAAAGCCATAAAAGGTCTAAGATAATTAGGGCTTCATGCAATAAGGATTATCATTTCATAGAATCACAAAATGCACATATAGAAAAGGAGTTGGGGAGTAATTGTTGATTCTATCAACCAGCTTTTGGAATAATACGAAGATCTAAGAATTGTCTGGGATATTCCAGCATTTTGGTCATCCAGAAATTAGCAATAGATAACTAGCATTTCCTCTAATCAACCTAATTGATTTCAAACCACTTGGAAATGTCTATCGTTCATAACGTGTGTGCTCTAAAACCTTCATTCTTAAGGTTGAGAAAAGCACCTAATCATCTTAGTGATTTCAACCTTTTGTTTAAAACAAAAGAACTGAACAGGAAGATGTGGCGGAGTTGGAAGTCAATTTGTTTAGGAGTAAAAGTGAAGGTCTGTTTGCCTTGTAGAGCGTGATGAGAGTTAGAATAATCCAATTGTTAAGTCGGAAATGAAAAGCATTTGAAGTTTATTCACTCTGTGATCATGAATGCATAGGAGTGATTTTTGCAGAGGCAAATCGAGGGAAAAGGATTCCTCATTTGCTTTGAAGATAAAGGTTTTCAGAAGGCAATGCCTGATGGGTTCTCTCAACACCTTTTGTCTGCTGCTATGAGGAGGCCATTGTTGTACTTGAAATCGAAAGGGATTGAAAAAGATGTTGGAGATGTGAGTTGAGTTAGAAAGCCATCTTATACTTAAAGAAAACGATATGTCGTCTGACATAACATGTCGTCCGGAGAGAAATATCGTTCGTTTTGATCGAAATTTTCATACAGACGATCAAAGCTTCTCAAAATACTTGACTTGTTCTATATCAACACAACTTACATAGTCCTTCGTAAAAACCTTGAACTTTACCGACGATACAGACTATAGATTGCTTCGTACAGAGAATTCAAAAGTAACTCGTTTTAAGGCAAGTGAAAACCGCCCCTACATTGAACCGACCAAATGTTCGACAGCTACGAATTCAGCTGATCGTACAGAGAAGTTCAATAATAAACAGCATCTATCCTTTCAACTGCTCCAATTCAATCGCCAGACGTTTAGAGAAAAAATAATTCCCCGACGACTCGTGCAGATATACAGACGAATTACCATTATAAACTACTCTCATTAAGGTGAGTTGAATCACAGCAAACAATTTTACACGACAATCGTTCCGTACAAAAATTTTCGCCTAGACGTTACACAAATTTTGATTTGAATTATTTACAAAGAAATCAAACTAAACACAAAAGCAAAATAGAAATGACAAATCACAGACTCTAAAAATAAAAGCACTAGACAAAAGACAAAACAAAACATAAAAAATAAAACGAAAAAGAAATACACATGTGACAAAAACATTTTATTAAGCATCAAATCAATACCACCAAGCCTGTTCTTACGTACTAAAGGACAAGGCAAAGTTTTTAAAAATGTCCAAGTGATTTTCAGATTGAACATAATAAGTTCAATTCCCCGTGATACAGATCCCGTATAGAAATGAATGCCTTAATGTCAAATTGTTTGGTTCTAGAATGTAATAAGATTGGAATGCAATAGCACCAGTGTTGCAAAAATCGAACTAGTGCCTAAAGTAATCCTAAATCAAGTCAACCTATGTTACCAAAGGACTTGTGCCACAACCCAAGCAATGTAGCGGCTCTGCAGTAATGCCATGAATTTGCTTCTACTAGACCATGAAACAATGAATTTCCATGAATTGACATGTTCAGAATGCATTCTACCACTTAACACCTACACAGAATGAATAACCAATAATCTCAAATGAATAGCAAACTATAATACCAAATTCCAATCGAGTCCTAGTAAATATCTAAAATCCTTCACGCTTCAAAGTATTCCTTGGATCTGAGAAACAGCACAAAACAACACACTGAACAAAGAATCGCGGCTAGCAATCAAGTAAAGAAAGATCTAAAATCCCTCAATCTTTTGATCAACAAGATTCCTTTAAATCTTAAATCCAACGAACGAGTTAACCATTGTACACAGGTAGCATTACCATTTCATACTTTGAGGATTCTTTAACATATTGTTGAACTAAGAAAGCCCCAAGTGGCTAATTGCTAAAACTAGAAAGTGTTTAAATGCCCATTACTCAGTTTCAATTCACACTCATTGTTTTAGAAAATCATCACAATGATTTGATGTTAAAGATCCAAAAATGAATCATTTCCACAAAATCGTTGACATGAGTATATCTTTCCAAATTCTTTAACAAAGAGATGTTTATCCACACTTCCTTTTCCAAAAGTATCTCAGTAGGAAGGTGCTCAAGTCTTCATACCTAACCAGGGTGCCTGTTTCATCCAAAGCCTTTAACTTGAAAACAGATTGGGTTATTAGAGAATTTTAAAACCAGAGGTTTGTTCACAAAAACATCTCTCAATATCCATTAAAAAGGCAACTTGTTGACATCCATGTTGAAATATTAAAATCCTTACATAGACAGTGTCTAAAGGCAAGTAAAACCCTGAATGCTTTAAGTCTTACTGACAGGGGCAAAGTCCCTCAAAACTCAATTCCTTAATTGATTAACCCCTTAGCAACTAATCTAGCCTTATTCTAATGACTACTCCGAGTCATTCATGTTATTTGTGAACACCACTTGGTCCAGACAACACATTGAATACTTTTGCCTTGAAGTTAATTCCAAAACTTTATTTCTTACAAATGATGTCAACCTCTGCATGGCTAATATCCAAAAGTTTATCAGAAAGGCTTGGATCACATTAGTGGTTAAGTGAAATAAGGCTGAAGATCTGATACGTCTTGTTTATATTCCACCCTATATCTAACACTCACAGGTCAACCATAATCAATCCCATTGGTGGTTGAAAATTTAAAATCTCTAGGCAAAGGGTTTTCTGATTCAGATTTCCTTCCCACTTTCTCCAAATTATTTTATCAATCTTTGAGATTGGTTCCATATCATCTTTTCGTGGTGAAAAGAGTGTTTTGTAAAGGCTTCTCCGCCTTGCTGTGGGTGCAAAAGGAGAGTCACTATTGGTATTAGTGCAATACTCAGAGGGTGCCTCTGGGGAGTGGATGTAGGTCTGGTTTAGACCGAACCAATATAAATCTTATGTCATTTACTTTACTGCTTTTTATTTTCCGCATTTTATTTTTTTTTAAAACTCTGTGGTTGAAAAACTTTTTCTATAAAAAATTTAATAAAAAAATTTTTCATTTTGGTTCAACAGTTTTTCAAAGAGGGTTAAGTTTAAAAAATACCAATTCACCCCCCATCTTGGAAGCCTTGGGACATCAACTTAGGTCTAACAACCTATTCACTAGACTCAACAAGGATGCCTCCTTATTTGATCCCCTACAATTCTAAAGACTAATAGAACTCATTTTTAAAAATGGGACAAATCTCCCACCCCTTTTCTTGTTCATATTAGAATTACCTTGCCTAGAAGAAATGCCTTGGGACATCAACTTAGGTCTAACAACCTATTCACTAGACTCAACAAGGATGCCTCCTTATTTGATCCCCTACAATTCTAAAGACTAATAGAACTCATTTTTAAAAATGGGACAAATCTCCCACCCCTTTTCTTGTTCATATTAGAATTACCTTGCCTAGAAGAAATATTCAGCGGTCCAAGATACCTCAACTCCTTTGACAACTTTATTTTTTGAGTAGTAGCTTTATCATTGCTCAGATTAGCAATCTCCCCATCTTTGTTTCCCAGTACCTTCTCATTGCTAAAAATAGCTATTTCCTCTTTCTTATGGACTTGGCAAGTTTCCAAAATTTCCACAAGTTCTCCTTCTTCAATAACCTCTTCATTAGAACCATCATGAATTTCCAAGTTATTGTCTTCCTCACATATAGAGTTCAACACTTCAAATTTATTCACAGAAGCATATAAATTAACCATAGATTTAGATGATAAATGCATACTCATGGCTCCAAAAATTTCCTGCACATAATCAATATCCAGATTTCCATTAGGTTCTCTGCTTTCCACCATACTTCTAGCTATACCACTGTCATCTTGAGCAATTTAAGAGAGATCACAACTTCCCCTCCTATACACCGAACTTCAGCAAGACAACTTGGTCCCTCTTGTATTACATAAAACTCTTCTTCATAGTTTCAGCCACCTGAACTCCAAATACATTACCCCTATCTTCCTGTCTCTTTGCATTAATTTCCCTGATCAAAGCAGTAGTTACTTTATCATTAGTACTAGATCTCTGAATGCCTCCTTTTTTTGAAACATATTTCATCTTTGACGTTCCCCAGTTTCTTCTTTTATTTCTTTTGTTATAAACTAACAACCATGAGCCCGAAGTAGGATCCTCCCTAATACTATTTTCTGTCTCTGTTTCAGCCACTTTATGATGGGCGGATATGTTCACTGCTCATGCATCCTTATTCTCCTCATAAACCTTGCAAGCTTCCTTCAAATGTCCAATCTTACCACATTTGTAGCGAAAGGAAGAATTTTTCTTGTATTCCACCTTTTGATAGAATTTGCCATTTATTCCTTCCACCCAAACACCAGTTGGTAGTTGACGGTCAAGTTGGACGCGAACACCAACTCTGGAAAACTCCCTCCTCCCCCATTGGAACATATCTCCATCTATCAAAATAGGTTTTCCAATAGAAGAAGCAATCCTTGATAGATTAATTTCATCCCAATAGTAAAGCGGTAGATTAGGCATCCTAATCCAGATTGGAGAAGAAAGCCCTTTGAGTGAATTGGGATTAAAATCAGAATTCCACTTATCCAGCCCAATTATGTGTCCATTTACGAACCATGGACCGCCTGAAAATACATTCTCCATAGTTTCCTCAGAGAAGAAAGAGCATAGTACCCAATCTGAACCAAGGATTGTGAGATGGAACTTGCCAAATTTTTGCCACTGGCATCTTAATTCAGCCGCAATCAACTGTATAGGGTTACGTCTCCCAAACACCTTAACAACAATGGAGCATTGAAGCTTATCAGAATTACCTTTGACAGTAGGATCAAACAGCTTGACGATTGATCCATCTTCCGACATAAATGTTTCAAAGCTAGGAAAATTAACTATAATATATGGTCATTTCGACCATGGGTTTCCAAGTTCCTTCCCTACTGGTTATTCACTAGCATTACCTTCCATCACCAGATTTGATTGATTTGCTCCTTCTATAGACTTTTCACAACCATTTGAATGTCTACCTTGAATTTTTTGAGCCAATTGAACATCTCTAGCTATAGATATCGGTTTAACATTTGCAAACCTGCTAACAAACAACTTCATTTCTTATGAAGACGATCCGACTTTATGAATTTCCTGAGGAGAGTTCATCTCATCTTCTACCATTATTTATTTTCCTTTCCCCAACACAGGATATACATATCGTGGCATTTCCAAATTTGGCTCTCAGATAACAAGAGCTACATTGTAGCTTTTCGAAGAAATCATAGAAGGTACATTGTTGAACACCACCAATGATCGTTCTTTCCATGGAGGAACATTCTGGTCATCGGAGTTGATCAGAGGATGATCCTCCATCACCAAAGAGAAATCCACAAATGACCAGTAGATGAAGAAATTTGAAAAAACCTTTAAAAAATTGGGACTTTCACTCCACTGGAAAAATCATACGAGGACGTAGTTGAGGAGACCACATATGTAGTTTTTAATGAATCTGGCATTTTTGAAGAGCTAAGGTTAGAGGAAGTTCATATTGAAGAGATCTCCCAAGGAATTAGAAAAATAAATGTTGTAGAGAATGTTGGAACAAAAAATACATTGCCTAGATAATGGAAATTTTCTAAAGGTCATCCTAAAGAATTGATTTTAGGTGAACCAAGTGAAGGTGTTAGAATTAGGCATGGACTTAACAAAAAAGTGAACCACTCTACCTTTATTTCAATGATTGAGCCTACTAATATAAATCAAGAACTTTCTAATGAATTTTTAATTTTGGCCATATAAGAAGAATCGAATCAATTTGTTATAGATGATGTTTGGGAATTTATTTAAAGGCCTAAAGATTAAAGTGTTGTTAGAATTTAGTTGATGTTCAAAAATAAAATAAATGATTTAGTTGTAGTGGTTAGAAATAAGGCAAGATTGGTGGCCAAAGGGTGTAATCAAATAGAATAATTATTTTTAAAAAAATCTTTTTCCCTTGTAGCTAGACTTGAAGTAATAAGGGTATTACTAGCCTTTTCCTATTTTAAAGGTTTAAATTATTTCAAATGGATTTGAAGAGTGTATTTCTTAATGTTCTTACTGGGGTGATACAAGAGGATTTTTATATTGAGCATCCTCCAGGTTTTGAAAATTTAAAATTCACTAAAAATATGTTTAAATTGAAAAAATGCATTATATGGACTAAAATAGGTACTTAGGGCTTCGAATGAGAGGCTAAGCACATTCATACTAGAAAAATAATTTTTTAAAGGAAGTGTGGACACCACTTTCTTCTTAAAAAAAGGTAGGAGGTGACATACTCATTATTAAAATATATGTTGATGATATCTTTTATAGATTCATCAATAAAAATCTTTGTGATGATTTCTCAAAAATAGTGAGTTGTGAATTTGAAATGAGTTTGATAGGAGACTTAAGTTATTTTGTTAATTTTAACATAAAGCAAAAAGTGGATGGAATATTTCTAGTCAGTCGAAGTATATTAATTACATCCTAAAGAAATATAAAATTGATAAACCAAAACTAATGAGTACACCAATGAGTTCCTCAGTATAATTAGATAGTGACTCTAAGGGAAAATTTATTAATCAAAAGAAATTTAGAGGAATAATTAGATCATTACTATATTTAATTGCTAGTAGAGCACATATCATGTTTAGTATTTATTTGTGTGCTAGATTTCAAGCTGATCAAAATGAATCACATTTAAGTGCTATTGAAAGAATTCTGATATATCTTTTAGAAACTCAAAACATAGGAATATGATATCCAAGGGTATAGCTCTTCTTTTGAAATCATTAGATATTCTGATTTAGATTTTATAGGATGTAGGGTTGATTAGAAATGTACTTTTGGAACTTGTCAATTTATTAAAAACTTTTTAGTTTCTTGGTATAGTAGAAAACATAATTTAGTAGGACTTTCTACTGCTGTAGCATAATACATTACTTTAGATTGTTGTGTGGCACAGGTTCATTGGTTAAAATAATAACTTATTAATTTTAGGATTTTTTATTAACACTATTTTAATTTTTTATGATAATATAGGTGGCATATATAATTCAAAGAATCCTATTCAACATTCTAAAATCAAACATATAGATATAAGTCATCACTTCATTAGAGACTATGCCACTAAAGGAGAAATTGAGCTATATCAAGTAGCTACTGATAATCAACTTGTAGATATTTTCATAAAACCATTGGCTTTTGAAACGTTTAGCATCTTAAGAACCAGATTAAGTATGATTGATATTCATGCTTAAAAATTATAATTCTAGAAATTAGATTTGTAATGTTTTTCATGTATGTTGATGTTTTTTTATTTGGTTTTTTTTAATATATTTAGTTGATGTTTGTTCTTTCTTTTATTTTGTGTTTGTTTTCTATTTGTATTATTTTTATTTTCATTTTGTATCTCATGGATCTTGGGTGATTTATTTTTGGAAAAGCATTTTGTTTATCATATCTTAAGTTACTTTTCCATTTGTACTATATGAACCATTTGTATTGTATGAATTCAATAAACTATACATGATACTTTTTGGGAGTTGGTAGAAAAAAATGAGATTTTTTTAATTATTTTCATACAGTACGATGAAATCATCATCTATACAATCCGTTAATTTTTATTTGTATGAATGGAACGAATTTTCCAAATGACCGTTATTTTCCAAGATCGTACGTATAAAATCACATTTCGTCTAAACTATCCTATTGTCAGTTGGCATGTAGACGATCTCAACCATTTGGTACAAAAATTATTACTGATGTCTCGAATAAAGTCACGTTCATCTGTACAATCATTTTGGTCAAAAATTCGTATGATATGACTCCTCAAAAATTATGTATTATGAAAATTCGTTTCATCACATTAACTATTTTGGGTTTTTCAATTCATACATACGTAAATATTTTTTGTCCAGTACAAAATTAAAATTATATGTATGAACCTCATATCATACTCTTTGAATTCTTCAAATTTCATTAAATTGAAGGCCATGCTTGAAATTTTTTATCATACTTTCACTTTCAAACTTTCTTGTGCTCAATCTTTTAGAAGATGAAAAGTAGTAGCAGATGTGCTAGGCATTTTAAGGGTTCTTCATCTCATTCCAATCAACCAGATGAAAATTTTCTCTCTAGAGAGAATGAAGAAGCATACCAGTATTATTTCGAAGTAAAGATGGCTCCATCTTGCTTTGTCATTCAAGAAGACATTAACTTTGTCGTAATGCCACTTTTTGCTTCTACCCAATTTGCCTTCATTCTCACTTTGATCAATGCCTTTCATTCTGATACCTTATATTACTTTCTTGCTAATCTTAGAATGTGATAAAACCATACAATCATGTCTTCTCTTGTTCTTGGCCAAAGGGTTAAGATAGCTAAAGAGGATGTTGGCAGATATTTTTACACCTTAAAACTGAGGGTGTTAGAGCACACACTATGACATCAAGAGAGAATTTTGATGGGTCAACTATAAATTAAACCCTTAACGGAATAACTTCAGTCAACCACTTACCTCGTATGTACACTCTAAATAAAAAAATCCAGGATCATCTAATATGTGATGAGAACTTTAATTATTCCTAAAGGTGGTGATCGTATAAACCTTACTTTTTTTCTTTCCATTGTCACTTATCTTATAATGTTGAACACTCTGATTGATGAAGCCAAGTTAATTCTGGACTACATCAATAAACTAACGGACATTAGACTTCCTTTCATGAAAAGGAAGAAGAATGTGGCTTTAGGACATCTAATTGCCTATATCCTTGGGAAGAAGTACAACCTGATTCATCTAGATCCACCAAATAATTTGCTAATTTATTTTACCAATGCTTCTTTCCATTCTCTTTTTCATCGAGATTAGGGAGATGAGGGAGATGAGATGGGAGGAGAAGAAGAGGCTCTAGCACCTGCACCTACACCTATACCTGCTTCTGGACTTGAGCAGCATTTCTATCAAGAAATATTCTAGAGGTTTGATCGACTTGAGTATCATTTTGATCAATAATTTCATCAAATTGAGACTCGTCTAGACTAGCAGGATGCCAGATATAATGAAGATATGGGCTGGATCATAGGGTAATTTGACTCAGTCAACACTCAAGTAGCTACCATCAATAACTACTTTACGATGTTCAGCCCTCCTTATCCACCTTCCAATCAAGATCCTCCAATATATTAGTTTTCATTTTCTATTGTAGTTGATATATGTTTTTAATTTTTTAGTTTTCATGTAATGGCTTTTGAAAGTCTAAATTATTTTCTTAGTTGTATTTGCATTTATAACTTGAGTTTGTATTAAAAAAATTTGGAATGATATTTTGTCTTATTTTGAGTTTAATCTTATTGAATTGTTTTAAGTTTCTATAGATTAATCAAATATAATTGATCTATGAATGAACTTTTAAAATACTTTGATCAACAAATTTATTTCCTTACAAAATTTAATTTCTCAATTTTTAAAATTAAATTATATTTAGATGTAGATTATAAGGTCATTTTTGAAAGTCCATTAGGGATTTACGCCCTATGAACTAGTCCCGAGGGCTAACCTAATATGGGGGGGACTGACATTCGGTAATTTTTAAAAAATTCTTTAAAACAAGAACAAATATCACAAACTAAAATCCACACGGAAAAAATCAAGTGCGGAAAAATTAAGAGTGGCATAGCAGTAAAAAGAACACAAAGGTTATGTTGGTTCGGTCTCAACATTGACTCCTACGTCCACTCCCCGGAGCGCTGCCTCGAGTAGTTGCACTACCAACGTGACTCTCCTTTAGCCCCCACAGCTAGGCGGAGAAGCCCTTACAAAACACCTCCTTTTTGCCACCTTGGCAAGG